GTTAGAACCTGAGCATGTGGGCAAGACCCACCAGCCAGACACCTGGGAAAGAATTATCTGTAGTAACTCAGAGACCTCCCCATCAAGTATCCCATCACCAGCCATATAATCTTTGAGTTAAGCCAAGAACAATAGATCTCAACATGAATTTATGAAGTTCAACTAACTACTGCTGACAGAATGAAAAAAGTTTTTAAACCTGAAGACAGAATCTCTTCTTCCTATCTCTGGGACAAATTGTAGCCTCATGAGAATTTTGTTAATTAGAGCAGCTGCCAGAATGGTTCACACAACTCAGCTCAGCTCTGTCCATTAGAGCTATGGCTTCCCCAATCTCTTAGCAAGTTTCCATCTTTTAACAAGGAAAGTTATCTTTCTAGCATTTCATATAGCAGGAAGAACACCAAACTTAAGGGCCAAAAAGTTTCTTAAGATAATCAAGGCAGACTACAGTAATTCACAAACAGATGGTGGGCACTGCCATATTGAAAAGTGGGAGCACACTGTAATGTGCAAAAAGAACAGCAGTACTTGGCACCTTAGAGACTAACAAATTTATTTGAGCATAAGCTTTCATGGGCTACAGCCCACTTCACCGGATGCATAGAATGGAACACACAGAAAGAAGATATTTATATATACAGAGAACATGAAAAGGTGGAAGTTGCCATATCAACTGGAATGTGTGCACCTTTAAAGAAAAAGTATTAATTGTTAAGTTATGGCAGGTAAATTTAGAACTAATAAAAAGGAAATATTTCACACAGCATGCAGTCTGGAATTCACTCTACAGGTGGTGAGCAAGTTAAATACTGTGAATGGATTTTAGAAGATGGAAGATTGGATAGCCAAAGAAAAGAAGATATTCATAAATTACTGAAGTTTAGAATTAAAATACATTTATGTATTGAAAAATGCTTAATTTCTGACTCAAGCAACAAATCAAATTTTAATATGTGATGTGTCATTCCAACAAGGGTATACTAAAATAAATCTGACAATACCAAAAGAATGCTGAAGATTGTGGGCAGAGGCACTCTTTGTACCATTTCTGCTGGAGCGCCACAAAAATGTGGACAGAAAAATAAATACAAAAATAAATATTACTACCTAAGCAGCCCCGGAGCTTCCTGCAGCCACAGGAGGTTGCCGGATGTGGATCTGGTCTCCCCTGTACTGCTAGGAGTGCCCTGCAGCCGGGGGAGGTACCCGGAGGTGGGTCTGATCTCCCCCCGAGAGTGGTCATGCAGGGAAAGAATAAGTCCTGTCCCTCCCCAGCCTGGCCAGGACTACCAGCTAGAAGACCCCGGCTAGGGTGCTCCCAGCAGCACAGGGGCGATAAGACTCACCTCCGGGAACCTCCTATGGCTGCAAAAATCTGAAAACATGAAATTGACTAATTTTCAAATCCAATAGCCGTGATATTGACCAGAATGGATCCTGAATTTAGTAGGGCCCTATTAATAAGTTACAGGTAACTTCTCTGAGGAGTCTACAATCTAAATTAAGACTGACCACATTGAGAAATATCAAACAGGAGGCAGGGGTACTGGGAGATGAAGATTACATCAAAGTTCATAAAATGTACTCTGTACTCTGATGTATCTTTTTAGTTGCTCTGGATTTTTACAATAAATTAATGAGGATTCATGGATCGTGTCCAGAGCAGAAGAAAACGTGGAGTTTAGTGACACTGACTGAAATAAATGAGTAATGAGGAGAAATGCGGGAGGAGGAGGTGGTTGTACAGCAGAAAGGATCAAGGATGACAACTAAATAAAGCAGCATCGAAGGATGGAATTGCTTGTAGTTTAAGGAAATTAAAGAATATCAAACTGCACTAGAGTAGGTACTGGTTGAAGGGATAAAATAGGAGAAGAGATTAAGGCACAGAAAGGGAATAACAAGGACTGAAGGAGATCTTGAATTCCTGTATAGGCTACAGTAAGTAGGTTGAGATGGTTAGCACAGAAAACAAGGACGATGATTTTAGAAACAATGTGTTGAATAAACTCACAGGGCACCAATGTGAGTCCAGGATACCTGAAAAGCAACTACTGCAATTGTCAAGATGAGAGATGACCAGAAGATGAACCAAGGTTTTGGTGAAATCACCAGCAAGGAAAAGAAATAAACAGGATTATGATGCAACATGCTTCCCGTTCTAACAGTACCTTCCAACAGATGGCTCAAGGCTCTACAAACCTGGATTACTCATTCAATTTTCCCTCATTTATATGTATGGTTAAATAACAACAAATGATTGAAACTTCAGTATTATTACTGCTGCTCAGTTTTGAGAAGTTACAGAATGAAAATTGACTAAAAAGTCTTGTTGATGAATTAAGACCAGAAAAAAGGAAAATGCACAAGGGTAAAGTGTAGAAGTGCACATCACAGAGACAATAATGTTTAAGAAAAAAGGTTGATTAATTAGCCCTATTATCAATAGTAGTTCCCTCTAATGTTCATCCTAGTTTTAAGTTTTAAGACTCATGTTTTCTACCTCTTTGACTCTCCAGGACTCATATGCCTCTTATGTCTTTTGTTTAATCCTAACAGCAAATTCATGTAAGAAAAGTGTGTTCTTCTGACATCAAACCATATTTTGTCTGCTCTGGTCACATATAGTCACAACAAAGAGAAACTGTTTCCAGAAGACAGCAAACGTAACCTACCAACCACCTTCTTTCCCATAATTTGTGCCATCTCACCCATTCATTAGTCTACTTAGTCTGCAACAGCAAGGCCAAAGCCTGGCGATTTTGGTGCCCTTGGCTCTCTGCAATTTTGATTTTATTTACATCTCAGAAAAGTCTCTGCAGTATAGTCTTCTTCTGTCACATTAACGGTCCAGGAAGGCACATTCTTAACCATTTCCAGCCACCGTACTCGCTGGGAACTAACAGTACCACCCAGGTGAGCTCCAATCCGCGGCAGAGTTGGGGCCACTCTTGGGACAGCGGATCAGGGGCAGCCCGAGCTCCGTGGTGTGTTGGGGTAACAGGAACTGAGGAGGTGGCGGACAGCAGAGGGGCGGCGGCTGGGGCCCCTGGGCGAGGTCAGGCGAGAGCCCCCCGAAGCCAGCGTTACACAGCTGACACGGCAGCGGCCCCCCGTGGGGCGCCAGGCTTCACAGCCCCACCTACAAACAATTAATGCCCGGACCTGGGGGCGGGCCCCGCTTGTGGCAAGCCCCGCGCTGCCACCCCTTTCCCCGCGGGAGGAGTGTGAGAATCCCCCGCTCCCCCAGCCACGGCCACAGCTGCCGGCCGCTACACGCCTCCCTACAGCCACGGCTACCGGCCGGCCGGGAGCCGCAAGTCCCCTGCTCGCGCCGCCGGACGGGAACGGCTACAGCCCTGCGCCGAACCTCCTGGTGCCCGGCAGGGGCTAGAAGGGAGAGCGCCTCACCCGTCTGCTTCTCCCGGATACCGGCCGCCATCTTCCCGGCCAGCCCCGCCCACCTCCGCGTACGCACCAGCCGGGCGACGTGGCGCGTCCCCGCACTCGGAGGCAGGTCGACAGGGGGCGGAGCTTCAGGACTCTCCGCCTGGCCACGCCCCTGAGCACTGGTCGGGGGGGCGATGGGGAGCTGAGCCGGGGGAGGAGCTTGGCGGTGCCGACCTACAGCTTGCGTGCGCGGGAGATTTGTTTATTTCACCTCCTTAATGCAGAGAGCTGCCCCGCTCTAAGCCATCCTGGCTCTTAGCCTGGAGCCCCCTTTTCTAATGAAAAGAAACCGCACCTGCCCTTAGCATAGAGCGAAGAGCCTGCGCCTGTTGAATACAGACGGATGGTGTAGGAACCGGTGTGAAAGCCATGAATAGAAACGACCAATTCCAGGGTCCAATACTCCAACCTGGTTACGGGGAAGCAGTAAAATTAGGGGGTAATAATAGCGTGTATAGGGGAACATAGCCTATGGTCGTGTACGCAGAGGATAAGACACACCATGGACGAAAGGAACGCGGTGATGTGAACACATCTTAAACTCAGCCACTTCCTATCTTGGATTCTTCAACCAGAATGCTCTTTTAACATTTTATATTTCACCCATAGCTACTGTGAAATTAGTTGTTAGCCTAGCTGTATTAGGAAAGCAGTCTGCAAGACTCCTTTAGCTGCCCTAAGTCATCCCCGTATCTCCATCTGTACAAAGTACAATTCTGCTTCATATTTATTAGAATATCACCTTGGTTAAGCAATGGCTTGTCAGTCCATTGGACAGTTGCTTAAGTCTATGTCTAATTGGGCTGACATACTTTGAGCAGTTATAAACACGCTATTAGCAGTGGACACAACTGACACCTAACAAAGAAAGCTTCAAACACTCAAATACATGGTTCTTTTAAACCTATTTTTATGCAAATTAAGTCAGATGAGCAAGGATACCTCCAAGGTGATGCATTGCTTGAATGGTTTGTCACCTTTGCTTTTGATCTACTAATTAAACAGTATTTAATTTTTAATTAGAGTGTATTCATGAAATTAAATGTATTCAATGGGCAGGGATGGTATCACTTGGTGATTACCACTTCTGTTCATTCCCTCTGAGGCACCTGGCATTGACCACTGTCGGAAGATAGTATACTATGCTAAATGGACCTTTAGTCTGACCCAGTATGGCCGTTCTTATGTTAACTGAATATTTAAAATCAATGGCATGCTGGACAAAATGGGGAGAAAGCGAGTCTGAAGGGAGCAGGGACATAACAAAGGAAGATAGCCCGGTCAGGCCAGGGAATGCGGGTGGATATTAAAAAGCCTATGGGACTTAAGGACTGCAAGTTAATGGGACTTCTGGTCAATGGGAGTTAGGTGCCTAAATACCTTTGAACATCTAGGCCTAAGGCACTTTCAGAAATTCCACCCTGTGCCTATTAGTATGGTACTTATTATGTGATGGATGCTACATAAATGCCACAACCAAGACATTTTCCAAATGAAAAAATGAAGTTCAACTGCTTTTGAAGAAAATACACATTTAATACAACTGCTTACTAACTGAATCATTAGTTACTTTATTGCACTTCAAATATTTTATACACATGACAGTTGTCTCCCACAATTAATGTATTTACTTCATGGAGCAACACTGACATATTATAGCTGTTAAGTATGTTACTTGAAGCTGCAACAGATTTCAGGCATTGTACCCCACAGCTATGGCAAAAACCAAAGCCAAAATATTTACAAAATTGCAAGTTCCATAATGCATATTATTATACATAACGGATGTTAGTTTTTCTAAACATTCGCTTTGTTACATACAATGCTAAATGCTGCACTTTTTACCAGAGAACATTAATACTTCCACAATTCAGATATTCTATTCATTTTCTTTTAGCAAAACAAAATATATAACATGCTACTTTTCATAAACTAGTCTTTGATTCCCATTTTGCTTTTATGGAATTGGTAACTCCCTTATGATAAACCAATAACATAATACCACAATTTTAAATCCTATATAGCTGATAAAGTGAAACAAAACTACTCTAAAATAAAATATATTTTGCAGCTTCAGGAGTTTATTTAATTTATTGCTTCCCTATTTGAGGAAAAAATACTAGTTTATATCAATTGGCACTTTTTTTTAAAAGTATAAGCCACAGAATTAAAGGAGTTGGATTAATGACAATTTTCCATTTTCTGCTGTGCATATTTTAAACACTCCTCTTTAAATACTAAACTCTGTGTATGTATACCCTAGTGCAAGGAAGCTATTTAATGAAGAACTGTAAACCTAGTTTGTTAAAGATTTGCATTACACTTAATGCTGTAGAGCCTGAAGTAGAACATAAGGTTGGTTACTTCTCACTCTGAATATATTTAGCTAATAACACCTAATAATAATAATAATAATAATAAAAAAGACACCAGACAGATTTTTTTGGCAAGACTTCCTCTCAGCCATCTTATTTGACTTTGACTATTCCTAGTTTTAAAAATGTAGATTCACAAACTTCAAGACTACAAGATTAATACTAGATTTTTAAAATATAAGATTATTTGTAATAAAGTTCCCATGAAAAACAAATAATAAATTGTTTATAAAATATGGCAGACCTCAAAAAGAAGTTATGAGCTTGACAGAAGTTACTGGGTAAGGTTCTATGGCCTGTGTCTGAAGGTGAGACTAGATGACCATGATGGTCCCTCTTCTGACCTTAATCACGAATCTTATCAAAGGTATGTTTATTATACAAATCGTGTAGTAAGAAGCCATTATATTGTATGTTTAACAGATAACACTCTTGTTAATACTGGAGATTGAAATAAGCAACTTTCCTAACTCCTAGTTTTGCTTCAATTGTATATTTATTTTTTGTAAAATGGCAAAATTACCTGAGCATATTCAATTTTAATGATGTGTTATATAAATTAAAATTTTAATTCTAGCAGTTGATTGACATAGTAACATAAGTTGCTCACTATTTCTACACCTCAACTTTCTAATGAAAGTTTTGTGCTTCAGCAAGATAACTTATTTCTAAATATAGTAAAGCTACTTATATTTTGAGAATATGAGGAGGAATGACATTGAAAATGACAAACAATGTAAGAATGTTATGTCCATGACAGATGCTGAGAAATAAGCAGTAAGGGCCAAATTAATCTCTGTTTTAATTCTCAGGACGATACTGGAGTTGCAGCAAGGATTAATTTAGTTTAGAATGCCTAACTGAAGCAAAACACACATTACAAGAAAGGAGATATTCTTTACCAACTTTGCAAAGTCATAGTCCAGGAATGAGAACACAAACCACTATGAGACTTTCAAAACTAAAGTTAAATCTTTCAAAGCTATATTCAGGGCCCTGAGTATTCTAAAGTTGTAGAATTCTCTAAAGATTCCACCTTTTTCCACACAATTGTGCAGCAGAATCTAAATTTAAACCATAATGAAAATGTCTTGTTTTTTTAGTTGTCAAGATAGTCTTCTAAACATTCCCCAGAAATAAACAAATTAACTGTTGTCTTAAATCAGCAGAAAACTTGAAACAATAGCACCCAAAAAGGTCAGACGTGTACTGTTTCCATTCATCTCAATTTGAGGTCAACTCCAAAATCTAACATTTAAATGTCAACATTGATTTTACTCTTCCTGTGCCTTCTGAAGTGCCTACAACCCAACACTTGTTCTTTTGCCAAAACCACCAGCTCTCCCCCACATTACATCCACAAGTTACATGCTTCTAGTCAAAAAAATATGCAGCACACCACAAAATAAGTGAAACCTCAAATTAAGCAACAATTAACAAAGAATGTTGCACTAGCTGCTGCATTAATTTTCTTATTTAGTTCAACGTAAGTATATGAGTCTGCTGCAGAATTCTGAGCAGTGGAGCACCACAGAAAACAGAAACCTTTGCCATATCTCCAGAGCGGAGATCCTCAGAATAATGGACAGAAAGAACACATGGAACAATTTCTTGAGAAAACATGAGAATTAAAATCAAGAACGTTGTGTGTACAATAGCAGAACAAATGGAATAACATTTTCTAATAACTAGTCAGTGGAACTCGGAGATACAATCAGTTTTGTTTCAAAAAGAGAGTCTACCAGCCTTTTGGCCCACAACCAGAGTAAGATCCTGACCTACTTCACTATGCGTTTTAAATGTTGAAGAAAGGGAGACTACTTTCAAAGTAGTTAAAGAAATATGGCGTGGAAAAATACAAATAAATGTCTATACTTCAGACATTTTCAGAGATTCTGAGATGTAAAATTAAAAACTACACACTCTCCAGACATTTCCTGACAGATATGGTTTGTAGTTTGAACAATGGAAAAAGACAATTCAGGGAGAAATGCTTGAAAAAAGCACTGTAGTACTTGCAAAAATCCAGAGAAAAGTTTTTTATGGCTTAACAGATAAATTGTACCAGTCATTAAAATACTTTTCAGCTATCTTAAATGTTTAAATAAGACAATCTGAGCCTGAATCTGAGAATTCTCAAAGTTTTTCATAATGTGCCAAATTTTAACAGAGTATCTCATGGACCACCTCAAATTCCATTCATACTTGCAGAACATTCCAGTGGCAGCTACAATAGTGTACATGAACTAAAGAGAGTTACAAAGTATTATACATTTTTATACTTCTGAATGCAGTTTAGTAGCTGAAAATAGAGAAAGCATGCAACTAATCATTAAAAAAGAAAAAGAAAAAAAAATCTCCAGTCAGTTTGAAAAAACTGCATTAGCTGAGATTTCTTTAAAATCTATCCATCCATTGCATCACTAACAGGATTTTCTTTCCCACAAAGAGTTCCTTTGGACTATATGAGTATTTGTGCAGGATTTTTTTTTGGGGGGGGAGGGGGAGGAAGGGAGGAGGATGTAGGGGGATTGGGTTTTATTTTGTTTGCCTTTAAACACAAAGTGGTGAATCTTGCCTGTAATCTATTAGTAAACTTGCTTCTAAGTGGCTAATATTTTATTTTTTTATTCTTTCAAGGAATCTGAATAGTTAAGAATCCATGTGGAATTATAAATAAGATGGCCTTTGTTTGAGATATAGAGTAGATAGCTGTGATTTTTTCCTATTAATCTAGTTAAGTAACAAAGAGCAATTGAATAAGAATAAGCTCAATCTACAACTGAATACTAACAAAACAGCTTTTAAGAGAAATATCAAAAGTGTAAAAAAATCAACTAACAAAGTATACAATCTTATTTCTCTCCAACAGGAGATTTCTGTATAGATACATCATCAAGTAACTCATCTCCATCCCCCTCTTAATTAAAAAAAAATCTTTAAAATTAATAACATCAAAATGTTTCCTGTACTACCTTAATTATGAATGAGCTACAGTGCATCTCAGTAAAAACTAAACATTAATTGATCCAGATATCCATGGCCACTGCGGTATCTTTGAGAAGCAAATGGTACATAATTACTGTAGAATTGCAAATATTAAGTTTGTTAAATGTACCAACTGTAGCTGATGCTGTTCAAAAGGCAATAACAATTGAGAAAGAAATGGTGTTTAGCATAAGGGCATAAAAAGGAAGTGCTGGACCTTGATTGCAACAGAATTTTGGAACAAGGATCAAGATAAATGATAATAAGAAATTATGGTGCAAGCTATTATCAAAATTACTCTGAATTCAGTTTAAGTAAAATGTGAACATCTTGTTCTAACTAGCATAGTGGGAATAAACTGTAGAAATAGCTGTAAGGCTAACAATTTCGTGTTTAGTTTTTAAAACACTTATTAGAGTCACACTTTCAGATCTTTTACTTCTGAATTTTATTTATTCCTTTGACTCTGTATAACAATTTATAGTGTAACACTGATATATAAAAATCCATGTGCAAATGACAAAGATTTGATTTAAATCCCGAAGAATCAAGAAATTTAGAGTGAAAGCAAATTTAGTTCTGAACTGTGGTTGATTTTTCCAAGGACACAATGTAATAGCCTGTTTCAAAGACATTATAAAAAGCTAGAGTTGACCACCCTAAAAAATGTGCCTGCTTTGTCTTTGATAAATCATGTTACCTCCATGAGTAGAGCATTACCTATACCTACTGATAGGGCACAGTGTGCTGAAAATACTTATAAACTTGCATATTTATCTATAGCAAAATTGGCAGTTTTAAAGTGTTATGCTGTCAGTTCCCCTTGAAGTCAAGGGCAAAATCTGACTTCAACAAGAATATGATTCAAGAGATATTAAAAATATTACATACCCAATTTTAGCCTGAAAATGTCTTTATATCAATTTTAATTTCTATATCTTGTAGTATAATTTTCAAAAGTTCAGCACACAAGTACACGAACTACTGACTTTCCAAATTTAAATGTATTTTTAGCCTATTGATCTAGTGATGTGTCCATTTATTTTTTTCCCAAACAAGTTTGATTTGTGAGCATATGCATTAAACCAATACAACTTTTTAAAACAGCTTTGTAACCTAAAATGACCAATTACAAAAATCCTATTTGGGCTTAGACTATCTGGTAAGTTCCAAACTAGAGCAATATTATGGACAAACAACAAAAGCAATTTTTGTAAACCAGTGGGGGAAAACTGAGATGGGAAAAGAGGGTATCAATGCTCAGAAATGTAATAGCAGCTCACAAGAAGGAACATCCCACAAACAGAAAAACTGAATTTGCGACATCGACTTTAGTAACAAAAAAAATTTATTCTACTTCTAGTCTTAGTGCGCTGCTGATGGCAAAGTCCATTTTGTTTTTAAACTGCTCATACGTCTTTGTTATTGGAAGTTCTAAGCAGTTAAGTTGTCTGTTTCCAACAGGGTATTTTATACGCAGAAATTTAACTGAGGGGTCAGGCTCAAAACCAATGGGTGGGATAGAACTGGTACCAGTTGCAAAGACCAGAATGTCTTCCAGTGTTGCTGCAGACTCACCACCTAAAAGAAACAAGTTTAATGTTATACAGTCATTCTCAGTTACTCATAAGTTATCCCAACATAGGCATTTCGGGGAAGAACACTGATTAACAAGGAATCAGCATTTTGCATATCAATAACCCAAGTATACTTGCAATTAGAAACAAAACTAAATTAGAAAAAGTTTTCACTAAGATGCAAAGAAAAAACTTTGGGTTAATTGAGGGAAATCTAAGGTGGTGATGCAGAGGAAGGATTGAACCAAAAAACCCACTCCTTTGGCTAACTGAACTAAGTAATGAGGAAAAAGAGTTCACTTACCTTCCACATCTTGTAAATAACCCATCCAGAAATCAACACCTTTGACTTTGTTTACACCTGATAAACAGTGGATTGTAAAGAGATCACCAAGAATTCTTGCTGAAAGTCTCTCGGGTTTGTGACACAATATGCTAGAGAATGCATCAGGGTGCATCTGTATTTTTTCTAATACACCAAGAGTTTTCAAACCTTGCCTAAAGCTGGAATCATAAAAAAAGGTGGCATTAGAAAGTCACCAAAGAACTAATTTTGCTATAAAATGTTTCACAATACCTTTTGTTTTACGAAGGCTGATACATATAAGTTTTCTATAATTATGAGATTCCTGCCTATTTACATTTACAGTGTTCATTTAAAATTTTATTTTGCTTACCTATGTTACCAACACCAGTTTAGATTGTTAAAAATGTAACAGTTTTGAGAATCCAGTTACAAGTAGAGGGTTTTTTTGCATCTCTCTCTTGGCTTGCACTATAAAAAACACTATGAAATCTGCCATTTTCAGGTTCCTTGACTGCCTGGGAATGTTTGTTTTAAATTTTTTTTTTTCCCCCAAAAATTGAGGAGACATCTGTTAATCTTAAATTTTATAAAAAATAGTTGTAGAAAATTTATAATTTGGGGTTTTTGTCCTTTTAGGACTAAAGCATAAAATTCTTAAATATTGAACTTCCTTGATTTCCTCCACAGTGGTTTCTCTTGGCTTCTTTGTAGATACTAACAGGAATTAGAAGTTTATAATGACTGGCAGGTTTACAGATCTGAATTCTCTACTATATGCTGACAGATTATATGTTTCAAACTTTAGTTTTAACTAAATGTGATAGTTACATTAAAATCTAAAGTACACTTAAAGGGAGGGGAGATGGGTGGGAAGGAATCCAACATAATTTTAACTGTATTTGGCTATTCAAAACAACTTCAGAAAAATGTATAATGCAGTTCAAGACCTGAATTTTAGAATTCAGTGTACATGATTCCATGCCCAAAAATGTACATGCAACCGTGTACAAAATTTGCATGCACAATTACTATAGCTTCTCCCACACTGAGTAGTACCTTATTCCACTAGTTGTAAGCAATTTCAATGCTTCTCAATAGTTTAATAAGTAAAAATGAATACTTTAAACTTTCACAACCAAACAAACCTTTCAAAAGGTGAATGAACTCGCTTAATTACATGATAGATCAGTAAGTCGTTCACCAACATATCCTTATCACATAGAGTTGTCATAGGTCTTAAACATCCAGCAATAGTAAGATATTCATAGCAGTCACTTATTGTAGATTTTAAGCTGGCCAGAGTTCTTGATGATTTTATCTACAGTAGGAAATAAAACATTTACTAGGTATTTGTTTGCTTCATATATGTTCCATCAATAAATTTAAAATTTAGAAGTCTGGAATCAGTAATCTCTTCCTAGCAAGTACTTCCATGACCCCCATCATCTTAGTATCTGAACACCTTTGGCTGAGGCATATGTATTGTCAACAGGATGCAGATTATGTCAAAAGGACAACACTCATATATTGAATTTGATCAATCATATACTATTCCTTAATACTTGCCAAAAACATGCCTACCCCAAAGTCTAATCTCAAATCTAGCATCTCAAGGCTCCAAAGCAAGAGAACACCAGTGGGTGGGGCACTTTATTTACCATTTTTATTGTTTGTGCTACATCAAAATCTGCAACATCTTCCACTGTTGGTTTCACATTCTCTGATCCATAAACAAGACAGTTAAACAGAGTTTTGGAAAAGAAACTGGGAGGTACACCACCATGAACCAAAGAAACTGCAATCATTTTGCCAGCTTCATAGTATAAATTCTCTTTTATGGCTGTAAATAAAGAAAGTATATTTGAATTAATAATGAACTATAATCTGCAACAGTTATCACTACTCTCTCATATTAATACGCATACAAGACAAACTCTTAAGGCTGAGACAATAACACTGACAAAAAATCATGGTTATGACCAAGTGAAGGAGCAACTTGCTCACTGCCCCGTCCTTCCGCCCCTCAAGCCAAGCCAAGCTCATCACAATCACAGCGGAGCTCTCCTGCTCTCTACCTTACACAGCGCTCAGTTCTGAGGCATGGAAATAGCACTTCAAGCAGCTCTGGAGAAGTAATAAATACAGTGGAGTGGAGGGGAGCGATAAGAAGAAATATAGGGAAGGGAAAGTGAAAAGAAGAAAAGGTACCCTTTCTGAGAAAAGGTAAACTGAGTGTTTCCTGTTTCAATTTCTTTAGATCTAGAGATCAAGAGTTCCAAAATTGATTGTAAGTCTACATCCATATAGTAATATTACTATCAAGTATTCCAATCACACCAAATAAGCAGTAAAAAACTTAGACAACTTATTCATCGCACAATTCTTACCCCAAAGCTCACATTTTAAAAATAGGAAAAGAAAAGATTAGTTTGGTACACATCTACTTCTATTTTGTGGGGCTCATGGTCATTTTATCTTGTTATCAGAATTAACAGTTTTGGTTTTTTTTCAGATGTCTATTATACTGAAAATTACTTTTGACAGAACTGTTTTACCATAAAATTTATGCTGTATTTACCTTGAGAATCAAGAGATAAGTTCTTTGAGTAAGAGCCCTCAAATAGTGATGAGTTCTGAAGATGAAGCATTAATAATCGGAAAAACTCATGTTTTGATCCATGGAAAGCATCTGTCTCTACTCTACCCTTGCAATTTGTGAACTTCACTTCCACAGTGTTTGCAGGATTGAAGTTTCGCCCTCTGAATCCTTTTAAGGCACTACTCCAGATATTGTCTCTGTTGATGTTCAGTCTTGTAGTTTTTGTATTATTAACCTGTAACTTTAATTCCCTCAATATATTAGCAGCTTCTCTTTTTTGTATTCTTAGTTGCCTAGAAGACACAAATGAGCACATTTTTTTAAATGAAACACAGGATATACAGTTATTGACAATTACAGTATAAGAAATCGTAGATCAGTTTTTCTGAATCAGAAAGTCTATCCTTCTGTCATCCATCTATGGATACTGAAATTTTAGCAAGTTCCTATCAGTTACGGCAAGCCAATGGGCAGACTCACCAGCTGGACTAGTCAAAATAAAGCCCAAGCTTTCAAGTGAGTGCCATGTCCCTTTTCTCAGGGCTGGTTTTATTAATTATCACAAGATACAAGAGTCTCAAAATAACACAAGACACTGGGTAATGGAGGCTTGTTCCACTTCTCACCAAAAGAGTACATACTTCCCTCTTGGTAGTCCTTCCTGGTAATCCCCTAGGACTTCTCTCAGGGTATTTCCTCAACTCTTGTTCTCCTGAGAATAAGCCAAGAACTTTCCTTTATATACTCTCCAGCAAGTAGTCACATGATGCTTGACTGACTGACCGACCCCTTGCCATCACATGCCCTGCCTGGAGACTACAACTCCTTAATCTTAAAAGCTAGTGTTGCCCCCTCTGCGGTACAAAAAGAAAAAAAGGGGGGACACCTGGGATGATCCTGAGCCCATAAAACTGGACAGCGGACCAGGTGTACTGAGCACCCTTAGAAATTTCTCAAGCTAGTGATCTCAAAAAAGGGATGATCCTGGGGAAAACCTGGATAAGTGGCAACCCTATAAAGGACCACAGACTGTAACAAGTACATGGGAACATACTGCCCTGATGGAGTTACATGAACATTCTGGAAGCTAATAAAGATAAACACTTAAAAACCATATACTTAGTCTGATGTAAAGTCTCTAACTTAAAAAGAACTCAATTTCAATGATTTCTGAGATATACTAAGAAATTATTTCAGATGTAACACTGTTGAAACCATGTATTTTAAAGTAACAAAAAATTAGTTACAAAGTTACAATCAAGTTCCATTAGAATTAATAAACTGCCTTAGCTTCACTGTATTTATTACTTCTTGTCGTAAAATTCTCTCCTGAGCCAAACTATCACTATATTGTTTGAGCAATGTTCAAATAAGTGACAAAGTATATGAAAACATTTGAAAAGCTTGTAATTTGAGAGTCTGATCGAGACAAATTTATAACTAAGTTAACATTCACTCTTTTAAAAGTGTCAAATATCAGCCGTGATAGCCTGAGATATCAGGATATCAGACAGAATCTGGCCATGATATCCTGAGAGAAAACCGACCTGCCTTCGAGCAGTGGGTGGAAGGCCAAGATGGCCACTAGATGGACTTTGACGGATGAGAGCAACAAGCCCTGGAGCCTGAGGTGCAGGTAGTCTAGAATGAGCTGCAACGGGGCTCGCTCAGGACAGACCCCCTTATTCGCCATCCGGCATGTGAATCGCTTCCATTTGGCCAGATAGGTGGCCCCGCTGGAGGGCTTTCTACTGCCCAACAGGAGTTGCTGGACCTCAGACGGGCACTGCCATTCTTGCACGTTTAGCCACGCAGCAGCCAAGCAGTCAGATGAAGTGTCACTAAGTTCAGGGGCAGGAGACTGCTGTGGTTCTGGGACAACAGGTCCACCCTGAGCAGCATCCGGAATGGGATCACCACCGAAAGGTCCGGTAGGGTGAACCAGTGTTGGCATGGCCATGCCGGCACTATGAGGATGACCTCTGCCCTGTCCTGCTTGATCTTCATGAGGACCATTGGCAGCAACGGCACTGGAGGGAAGGTGTACATCAGAGCCCCTGATCATGTGATGAGGAAGGTGTCCGACAGTGATCCTGTCCTTGCCCTGGAATGAGCAGAAGACATGGCATTGTCTGTTCTGCCTGGACACGAATAGGTCCACCTGTGGAAGACAGAGCTGACCACCTCCGGGTGAAGGGACCACTTGTGGCAAGATGAGAATGCCCTGCTAAGGTGGACCACCCAACCGTTCTTGGCCCCTGGGAGGTGAGCAGCCACAAGATGGATGTCATGCTGCAGACAGAAATCCCAGAGCCGGAGCACTTCCTGGCAGAGGGCAGATGACCTGTTAACATAGAAGATTGTGGCTGTGTTGTTGTCCGTTAGGACCTGAACAGCCCAGCCTTGTATGTGAATTCAAAAAGCTTGGCAGGCTAGGCAAACCGCCCTGAGTTCCCAGACGTCAGTGTGAAGGGCCCGATTGAGAATGGACCACTGGTCCTGAGCACTGAGATCGCCCAGATGGGCTCCTCAACCCAGGTCCAAAGTGTCGGAGATGAGCGTCACTGACAAGACCGGGCCTGCGAATGGGACTCCCTCCAGCACCGACATGAGATCTTGCCACCAGGTAAAGGACGACAGCACACTATCTGGAATCCTGAGCACCCGGTCCACACTGTGCCGATTGGGTACATTGACCTACGCCAGCCACGCCTGTCGAGGCCTGAGGCGGAGTTGCGCATGCCGAACCATGTAAATGCATGCCGTCATATGACCCAGTAGGTCAGGCACATGTGGGTGGTGGTGAACAGCTGGGCACGCAGAGACGAGATGAGGTCCACCATGGCTCGGTACCGAATCTCTGGGAGGAAGGCTCTGGCCTGAGTGGAGTTGAGTACTGCCCCAATGAACCGTGTGCGTTGCACTGGAGTGAGGGTTGACTTTTTATTGTTTATTATTGGGTCCAGGTCGCAGCAGGTGAAACAGACCATAGCGAGATGCCTCTGCACCTGATCCGAGGACTGGCCCCTTATCAACCAGTCGTTGATGTACGGGTAGATTTGGACCCCCAGACATCGCAGGTAAGCGGCTACTGGTGCTATACACTTGGTGAACACTCTCGGAGCCGACAAGAGACCAAAGGGCACTGCTGTGAACTGGAAATTGTGCTGGCCTAAGGTGAAATGGAGGAAACACCGGTGCCCCGGGAATATGGAAGTATGTGTCCTTTAAATTGAGGGCGGCGTACCAGTGTCCTAGATCCAGGGATGAGATGATGGAGACCAGGGAAACCATACGAAACTTGAACTTTTTGAGAGACGTTTTGAGGTGACGCAGGTCTAGAATAGGTCCGAGGCCCCCTTTTGCCTTCAGAATGAGGAAGTAGCGGGAGTGAAATCCTCTTCCTTCCATGCCTTGCGGAACCTCTTCCACTGCCCCTAGGCACAAGGTTTTCAACCTCCTGAATGAGGAGTTACTCATGAGAAAGGTCCCTGAAGAGGGACGGGGAAGGGGGTTGGAAGAGTTGGTCGGCTACAGACTGCAGGGTATAGCCCGACAAGACAGTGTCAAGCACTGATTGGTCCGAGGTGACTGGAAAGGGCGGAAGGGGTTGAGGAAGATGGGGAACAGATCTGGTACAGTGACTGGGGCGTCGTCCTTGGGCACACCCTCAAAATGACTGCTTTTGGCTGCCTTGGTCCCTGGAAGGACCAGGCTGGGCAGGTGGACGAGACAACGACTGATGGCATCGCTTAAAACACGTCTTTGTCCTTCTTTTTGTGGGACCAGGATTGAGAGGTACCCCAAGACCTCGACGATGGTGGAGGCGGAATGGCTTTCTGGCCTGCTGAGGAGTATGTAGACCCAAGAAGCGCAGCCTGGGAGAAGCGATGGGAATATGGTGCCGGCATACTAGACACCCCTCTGTGGATTCCAGTACTGCCACTGGGTGGGACATTGTCCTTGATCCCAAGCTGGTGTCGCAGGCACCTTGGCTGGCTCCCGAGGCTGGGAGATGATTTGCTCCATATAGGGGAAGGGCTGAACTGTCCCTCCAACCGGACCACTGCCCTTCTGATGACCAGGGTGGGGCTGTGGAAACCTGAATCTGTTGACTGACTGGTCAGCGACCGGTACTGGGAAGGCAAGAGCTGGTGCCTGCCCGAAGAATGGTAGCAGGGCTCCAGCGTGCCATGACCACGAACGGTCTCGTGTTGGAGGGGACCGATGTGAAGGAGGTTTGTGAGGTGATCTCTGATGGGAGGATTGTCGGTACCGAGAATATGGGGATCAGTGTTGCAACTCTGGTTTTCTGCATCCCATAGGCGGAGACCATGGTGTCGGAGATCTGGGCCTCCTGGCCGGAAACCGGGGTTGCGGTACTGGAGTCCTTGGCTGTGGCGAAGGGGAACGACGCCTGCAGTCCGGGGGGCATTCCACTGCCTTTAGGGGTGGTTCCATCACCAGCTTGGTCATCTGAGCTGGTCTCTTGGCGGCATCCGCCTTGTGGCCAGACATCTGCGGTGCTGGTCGGCCTAACTGTTCTTTGGCCGCTGGGCCCACCTCGGGCGCCGATGGCCCTGCAATGGGCCAGGACCCCTGGTTGGGCTAGGGGGTCTGACCACAGCGATACCCCCGAGATCCTCTGTTGCAGGCAGGACACCTAACTCAGGTCCTCTTCCCGATGTGCCCTTGTGCGGTGCCTGCGGACCAGACGACTTAGACCGCTTCTTTGGTGCCAGGCAGAAGCTGGTGCTGGTGGTGCACTGTGTGCCAATGCCGAAGTACCAGGCGTGGAGTCTGAATGCGAGGGCGTCGATGCTGGGTGCAAAGCAGCCTCCATGACAAAGGCCCTTAATCGAATGTCCCACTCAGTTCAGGGATGAAAGATTTTGCAGATCCGGCACTTGTCTTTTCTATGGGACTCCCCCAGGCACTTCAGACAACTCTCGTGCGGGTTGCTGATGGGCATCGGCCGGCTGCACTCAGAACATGTCTTGAAGCCTGGAGTATGCCCCGCTCCAGGACAAAGTCCCAGCCTGGGCTCTAACTACTAAAACACTAAGCAAGACCAGGCGCTCCAACCAACCATCACGGGCAGTAAAAAGAAACTGAGAGGGCGTAGGGCCAGCGGCGCCTGATATATTGCAGCATAAGTGTGGCATTTCAGAGGGCGCCACAACCAGCCCTATGGATACTACTAAGGCAAAAGTCTGCGACAACTGTGCATGTGGGCACGCACACACCTAGAATGGAATCAACATGAGCAAGCACTCGAAGAAGAATTTCATAAATCAGGATTTTCAGCAAGTTCTTAGGTTAAGCATTCTATTTTGCACTTTCCGTGTATATATCCTAGAGGAAATACATTTCATTTTATACAATCTAGAGCAGACCTGGGCCGCCAGATGCTTTTGGAAGAACAATAACACTTTTTCTTTACTTATTATGATAGTTATTGCAGAGTGAAACACGTTTCTCTGGAGTATGGACCTTGACAAAGAAATTTGGGCCTTGATAAAAAAATAATTGACTACCCCTGATCTAGAGAGCGTTGTTCAATATGAAAGAAATATTAACTTACATTCTCCTTACTGATAGATTCCTTGATGAAGAATTGATCAGTGGGGATATGGACATAACCATCTTATTAGATGCTGGAAGGTCTAATAATGTGCCGGAACAGCTTGACTCCTTGTACAACATCTTTGGTGACCTGGAAAGGGAAAAGCTATTACAAAATTAATTTCTCATTCTGAACTTTATGTAAACATTCATTTGAAAGTAACAGTACATCTGTTTACCACAAGTGTGATTTAAAGAACCCTATGTTACTATAAAGCCATAGAATCACTTTGTTTCTATACACAATTTTCAACATATAAATGATTGCCCCAACAACTAGAAGACACTGAAGTAAATTTTGTCATCAATAATTTACCTTGCATTCCTCAGACCCACCTCTCTTTTACATAATCGAATAATTGCTGAACCCTAGAAATGCTGACATTACCACCACCGTTCAGCACTAGAAAATGGAATAAATTCTGTCTCTGGAAATATTGTAACCTTCATTTTTTCAGTGCATAGTGGTTCTATGGTTTTCTACAGTGTTATATCCCATATAGGACAAACTGAAATTTGAGAATCCTTGAAAACCATTAAGTACTGATGTTATGTTATGTTACTCCCATAGGTAGACTGCATTGTATGATCCAGTGCTGGTATTAGTTGGCACCAGCTCAATACACACTACTGAAAAAACTTGCTGCAATTTTTATCTCGCCTTTTAATTACTAAGTAATGTTGTAAATTCCAGTTAAGTCTTCTAGAGTTACTCATAATCTGGTTTTGTTTAGCTCCAAAGATGGCAAAATTCCTATATTTACATGGAAAAAAAATTAAAGCAATGTTAAGGTTGCAAAATTAAGCACTCAAGAACTAGGAAAGAAAGTGGAATGCTGCATGTACAATTTCTGTGCACAACAGTCATCAGTTATTTAATCTCTTATATGCCCCAGAGGAACAGTTAAACTTGCATATACCCTCAAAATAAAAATAAAATCAAATAAAAAAAGTAAAGTTTTGTGGCTTTTGAGACCCCTAGCACTGAAACTTCAACTTTCCAGAGTATGCAGTTCTTAGGTGATAAATTGCACTGCCATCTCCTGCTACATACTGCAGAAACCAAGGGAAGGAATGCCAGCTGACTAGTACATATGGAATGAGGGCAGCAGTCCCATGGCAGCCTTCAAAAATGTATCTTAACCTTAACTACAGTAGGTGTGTTACTACACCCATGATAAATAACAGTTACTTATCTTAGGGTTTGTCTACACGCAAAATTTATTCCAGATTAAGGTAGGGTGTTAATTTAAAGGAGACTACCTATTCTTGAGTAACTCCATGTGTGGGCCATCTTCCAATGTGGATTAAGCTAATTCGGAATAAGGCACTCTTATTCTAGGACTAGGTCTACACTGGGGGTGGTCGACCTAAGATATGCAACAAATAGTGTAGCTGAAGTCGGCGTATCTTAGGTCGATTTACCTGGCCATGAGGATGGCGGCGAATCGACCACTGCTGCTCCCCTGTCGACTCCGCTTCCGCCTCTCACCGTGGAGGAGTTCTGGAGTCGACGGCAGAGCGATCGGGGATCGATTTTATCACGTCTACACTAGATGTGATAAATCGATCCCCGATAGATCCGGCGGGTAGTGTAGACATACCCTTACAGTAACTCGGGTTCTTTGAGATATTAGTGTGGGTCCCACTGTAGGTGCACATGTACCTCATGTGTGCCGTATCAGATTCTTTAAAATAGTGGTGTTTCTTTGGGCAGTGCATGCACCCTATGCCTTATCATGCTCCTGGACTTGCTAGGGCATAAAGGCAGAGCAACTGTAATCCTCCCTCAGTTCCCTCATGATTCAAAGCCACATTAGGTGTGGCTCATAAACTGGGGACAGAGTGCAGGTTGTGAGAGCCCACACCGACGACAACATCTAAAAAAACCCCCATAATTACTGTAGGGTAAGTAACCATTCTCCCTTCTTCGTGTATATGTCAGTGTGGATCCCACGGTAGGTATCTGGCAAGCAGAACCCCTCTGGATGGTGGGATGAGAAGTATCAGCTGCATCAGTCAAACAAATTGTAGTACTGTTCTAATAAACATGGCATCTGCCCTGACAGCTAAGTCCAGTGCACACTGCTTCACAAAACGTAATGGGTGCCTTGTGGATCTCAAAAACTGGCTCATTTCTGAAGTTGGCAGAGAATGACGCTTGAGTTCTGATGCAGTGAGCATTCTTGTTCAGTGGAAGAGGTACATCACCCAACTGGTAACACAGCAAGATACATTGTGTTATCCACCTAGATACTCTTTGTGATGAGATGGCCTGGCCTTTGGAATGGTTGGTTACAGCCAGAAACAACCAGGGAGATGGCCTAAACAGTTTGGTTCTGTCAATGGGTAAAGTAAAGCTCCGGAGATACCCTGCATAGGAAAAATTCCCCCTGATGTAGTGTAGGGCTTTGATAATAGGTTGGTATAGATGGAAATCTGAAACCACCTTGGGATGCACTTGGAGTAAGGTTTCACCACCACTTTGTCCTATGAAATGTTATGAAGGGAAGGAAGGTCAGCCATAAATACTTGGAGCTCGCTCATTTTCATACTAGTAAGAGCAACTAGAAAACAGTCTTCAGAGTGAGATGAAGTATTCTCAAAGGTGCTCAAAGGGAGGCCCTAAGTCTCAAGAGGACAATGTTGAGGTCCCAGGCAGGAGCAGTTTCTCTGACCGGGGGTAAGTATGTAACAGACCCCTGAGAAACTCTGATACCATTAGGAGGGAGACGATGGAGCATAATAGGACAGGAGGATGGCACACTGAGATCACTGTAAGGTGGACCTTAATGGAGCTGAATGAAAGGTCAAATGTGTCAGATGCAGCAAGTAGTCAAGGGTCTTTGGTACCGAAGCCTGTGTAGGGTCCAGGTTATTTTGGGCCACCCATATGGAGATACACTTCCATTTTAATGAATAAATCTGTCCGGTGGATATCTTCCAGTTCTGTATCAGTCCTTGTCCATGGCACTCAACCAGCTAACATCTAGACTGCGAGATGCAGGGATGTTGCGTCTGGATAGGGTATCTGACTGTGGTGCTGTGGAAATCAGGTCTGAGCAGTTTGGAGTTGAACAAGCAGCTGAATGGACATCGGCAGCAAGTCCATCACCCTAAACTGCCTAAATAGCAAGCAGAAACTATGAGGATGACATGCTGTCTCTCATCTGACTTTGGGGATCAGGGGAATAAGCAGGAAAGCATACAGGAGGCCATTTTGCAGTGGAATTAAGAAGGCATCTGGTAGCGATCCCAAGCTCATGGCCCCTCTGGAACAGAAGTCCTGATACTTGGCACTGTCTTTGGTTGCAAACAGATCTATCACACAGACACCCTTGCCCATCGATGAAATATCGACTCTATGATGGACCTCTGCAGTGATTACTCGTGACTGGTCTTGGATTGTCTGCTCAAGTAGTCTGCCAGGTTGCTGCTGATTCTAGGGAGGTGAAGTTCCACAGTTACCTGAGCTGGTGATACGTTTTCCAGAGTTTAATGGCCTCTCTGCTCGGTTACTGAGTGCATCATGGACATGCCTGTCAAAAACTAGACTGCGGCTTTTCAGAGGACAGGCAGGGATCCCATACAGGCTAGCCTGATGGCTCTGAATTCCAGGACATTTATGTGAAGTAACATATTCTGGGGACTTGGTCCCTTGCATTTGTAGGTGATCCAGGTGGGCTTCCCACATGTAGGATTGATTTAAATCAAAGCAAATTAAATCACCATTTTAAATCGTGATTTAAATCAGCAAGCAGGAAATCTTAATTTAAATTATTCATTTAAATTATGTTTTACATTTGTACTTTTCAGTTATTTTCCCAAAGAAAGCTTGGTAACCATTAAAACATGTTATTTTCAACTAAATATAATCTTTGCACTAAATCTGGTACTTCTTTCTGCAACCAGGAGTATACAATGTATCTATATTTTCGTATATAGTTTAATTTAACTTTATTTGGATTCTTATATTTTAACATTTTTAATTTATTTAGGTTCTTAATTTTTACATTTTTATTATGTTAGAAAATGGTGAATGATGCATTTCTTATGTACTAAATTATTAATTTACTCGTAATTTGTGTCAAATTCTATTTGGATGGAAATTCAAATTTAATTAAACACAAAAAATAAAATTGCCTTAAATGTGCTGGATACAGAAGAAAAAAGTTTATCAAAACATGTCTTGCATTTAAAACTAACTGATTTATTAAACAAAGGAAATATTTAAGTATCTTTAAGCAAGATACAGACAAACTGGAGAGACTCCAGAGGGGAACAACAAAAAATGCTAAAAGATTTAGAATCCCTGACTTATCCAGAAAGGTTAAAAAAACGAGGTATGTTTAGTCTTGCAAAAAGAAGACTGAGGGAGGACAGGATAACAGTCTTCAGAATTGTCAATTGTTTTCCATGTCCACTGAAGGAAAGACAAGAAGTAATGGACTTAAGCGGCAGGGAGGGAGATTTAGGTTAGATATTAGGAAAAACTTGCTAACTATAAGGATAGTTCAGCACTGGAATAGGCTTCCAAGGGATGCTATGGTATCCGTGTCATTGGAGAGTTTTAAGACAAGGTTAGACAAACACCTGTTAGGGATGGTCTAGGTCAGGGCTTCTCAAACTTAGTGGCACCATGACCCCCTTCTGACAAAAAAGTTACTACATGACCCAGTCAGTGTTCCCTCTAATATTTCCCATCCATGTGCAGAATGAATTTTGTTATGTGCACCAATATGGAGGTGATGTGTGACACATCACCTCCATATTGGTGCACATAACAAAATTCATGTGGCGGGGAGGGGCCGAGGAGTTTGGAGTGTGGGAGGGGGTTCAGGGCTGGGGCAGAGGGTTGGCGTGCGGGGTGACGTCTCCAGCTGGGAGTGTGGGCTCTGGGCTAGGGATGAGGGGCCCCGGGCTGGGGCAGAGGGTTGGGGTATGGAGGAGGTGAGGGCTCTGGGGTGGGGCTGGGGATGAGGGGTTTGGAGTGCAGTAGGGCTTCCCAGGGCTATGGTGGGGAGAGAGGACTCCCCATCCCCAGCACCTGGGCTGGGGGTGGGAGAGGCGCCTCTCCCAACTGAAGCAGGTCCAGGCCGGGCTGGGTTTGGGATGGGGAAGAGGTGCCTGTCCCCCAGCGGCGGCAGGTCTGGTGCTGGGCTGGGTTGGGGGAGAGGTGCCTGTCCCCTGGCCATGGCAGGTTTGGCGCTGGGGGAAGGGTACCTGTCCCCTGGCTGCAGCAGGTTTGGCAGTGGGCTGGGCTGGGGTCCGGGCACCTTTCCCCCGGCTGCAGCGAGTCCGTGGTTGGGCTGGGTTGGGTCTGGAGCTAGGGACGAGGCATCTCTCCCTGTCACAGCCCTAAGCGCCTTCCCAGCGCTTAATAGACAGCTGCACAGCTTAAAGGGAAGTTAGGACACGGGGGGAAGAGGGGACTGCAACCCGAGCCCTGTCGCCCTGGGGTGGGGGGTGGAGCTCAGACTTCAGCCCCAAGCCCCAACAAGTCTAATGCTCTCCCTAGATGTGACCTACTGTGGGGTCCCGACCCACAGTTTGAGAACCACTGGTCTAGGTATATTTACCTACTGCCCTGATTTTCAGATGGCATAAGTATTAGTTCAGTCTCTTCAGGTCTAAGATAGGATAAAGATACCCCACTTCTCCCTTTCTTTTTTGGGATAAAGAAATATTGGGAGCGGACATCTCTCCTCTGTCCTCTTGAGGTATCTCCTCTATGCCTCCTAGACAAAACAACAAGACCACTTCTTTTTGTAATGGGCTCTCAGGAGAAGGGTCCCTGAAGAGGAATGGGGAAGTAGTTTGGGTGTGGAAATGATCAAAGCAACTGTGGGAGATGACACTCAACACCCACTTGTCTGTTGTGATAGTAACCACGCCTGGTGGAAAGGGGAAAAATGATCCAAAAACAGAGACAGGCTTTTCACCAGCTCTGATGTGGCTCCTGACACTCCCATCAAACATACTGACTCTGTAAATCGGGGTCGGCAACCTTTCAGAAGTGGTGTGCCAAGTCTTCATTTATTCACTCTAATTTAAGGTTTCGCATGCCGGTAATACATTTTAACGTTTTTTAGAAGTTCTCTCTCTATAAGTCTATATATAATATAACTAAACTACTGTTGTATGTAAAGTAAACAAGGTTTACAAAATGTTTAAGAAGCTTCATTTAAAATTAAATTAAAATGCTGATCTTAAGCTGCCGACCTGCTCAGCCCGCTGCCAGCCTGGGGTTCCGTTCACCTAGGCCGACAGCAGGCTGAGCGGGGCCTGCGGCCGGAACCCCGACTGGCAAGGGGCCGGCAGCCAGAACCCCGGGTTGGCAGCGGGCTGAGCAGGTCGGCAGCTTAAGATCAGCATTTTAATTTAATTTTAAATGAAGCTTCTTAAACATTTTGTAAACCTTGTTTATTTTACATACAACAGTGGTTTAGTATTATTTTATATAGACTTT